TTGTGTATATGCTTGTCTTTGTGGACATGTATGCACTCGAACACATAGTGTCTTTGGAGGCCAGAGGTTCTTGGCTTCCCCAGAGTTACAGGTGGCTGTAAGCCACCTGATGTTGGGGCTGGGAATTGAACTAGGGTCTTCTGGAAGAGCAGGATGGGCTTTTAACCACTGAGTCATCTCTCCAGCCCCTGCCCTAAAGCATCTTATCAATTCATGTTTTACCACCAAGGGATGAAGGTTCTAACCACTACACGTTCTTGCAAATACTTATTAAAAATCTGTCTTTTGGGCTGTAGCTCATGTATGTGATGTATTTCCCTGTTGAACAAGTATGGCTTATTTTAACAGGTCTCTCTCTCTCTCTCTCTCTCTCTCTCTCTCTCTCTCTCTCTCTCTCCCCCCTCCCTCCCTCCCTTCCTCCCTCCCTTCCTCCCTCCCTCCACTCCTCCCTCTCTTCATTTCTCTCTGTCTCTTTGGGTAGAAATATCTATTCAAATCCTTTGCCTATTTTTTTAAAAAAGGTTTTGACCTTTTTTTTTTTTTTTTTTTAAAGGGACATGTTTTTTTTTTTTTTTTTTTTAGATTTATTTATTTATTTTATTTATGAGTACACTGTAGCTGTCTTCAGACACACCAGAAGAGGGCATCCAATCTCATTACGGATGGTTGTGAGCCACCATGTGGTTGCTGGGATTTGAACTCAGGACCTCTGGAAGAGCAGTCAGTGCTCTTAACCACTGAGCCATCTCTCCAGCCCCGGTTTTGACCTTTTATTATGGAATTGTAAAAGTTCTTTACCTGCCCCCAATACAAGGCTCTTACCAGAAATACCACTTGCAAGTGTTTCCCTTCATTCTGTAGAGGATTTTGCATTCCTTGAACTGAGTGAAGACACAAAAGCTCTAACATTGTTTCCTATAACCTGGCTCAACTCTTCTCATAAGTCTAGTAGATTTCTTATGAATATGGATTCCTTAGCATATATATTTTTTTGGACAGGGTCTTTCTTTGTAGCCTAGGTTGGCCCACTTTAATCTTTCAAAAAAAAAAGACAAGATATGTGTGCCTAAATCATGAGGATATTTGTATTTTTTTCTCTCTCTTTTTTTTCCTGTGACATCCTTCCCTGTTTATGGTGTAAAGTTAGCACACACCTACAGAAAGAGATGTAAGATTTATACCCTCTTCTACTTCACCCTCCCTCCCCTCTTTAATAGAATCTGACCAGGTGGCTTGAGTTACCCTGGAATTCACAGTCCTCTTTCCAAAATCCCATGGATTCTGGGATTTTAGGTATATACTACTCTACCCAGCTTGCCGCATTCGTTCTGGCATTAAAGTTTCTGCTTATGCCGTTACCTTGATGGGTTCATGCCCCGCCTCTCAGCTATCTCAAATCCTGCTCATTGTTAGAAGACACTTCAAGGCCTCCTCATCCTTGAACCCTTTCTTGATTATTCGGATCTGGATGTGAGCTCACTGTGTCTGGACCTGTTAGCTTAGAGCGGGCACTTACAAATGCTGCAGTTGGGTGCGCTAACATAGACATCAAGTGTCCAGGACGAACTGGAGGCAGAACAAGAAGAAGCATCGGAGTCTCGTTCAACAGCAGGAAGCAGGCAGGCATCTGAGCTTAGAGACCCCGAGCAGTACGACACCATGGCCCTAGCAATACTACAGCCTCTTTGGGAGGCGGGGCAGTGGACATTCAGGAACACACTGTTGACCGTTTGCAGTTGCTCAGGGATTTATTAGTTCTCTGACCTTGGGCTAGCCACTCTAGCCTCAGCTTTCTCATCTTCAAACTGGGATACGAAGAATCTTAGAGATTTATGGTGTTACATGAGTTCATCAGTGCAAGAAACACATTAATGCTAACAATGTGTGGCTACTTCAATAAATGCCATTGGTTCTTCTCTACGAACAAAGGGTGTGTGATCAGAGGATCACATAGGATATCCCTCTTTTTAAAGACCCACATGGTGCATGGCATAGTAAAAGCCCTGTAAAGACTTAAGTAAAATTACTAATATATCTTATATATAATCGATAATCATACACATATGCACACATATTTACCAAGATGGCTCTTTCCCTCTTCCTACATATAACATTTATTCCTTCTATTTTCTGTTATCGTTGTTTCTGAGACAGGGTGTCCGGTCCTCACCATGTAGCTTAGGCGAGCCTTGAACTCACAGCATACCTGCTACCTCAGCCTAGCAAATGCTGACTTGTAAGATTCATTTAACATACTTTTGGAAATGTGCTATTCACTGTAGTTAATGAGCAAAGGAGATGCTATTAAATTGTTTAAAACTATCGTGGTTTAGGCTTCACTTTCCTGAAGCCATGTATGATTTAAAAGCACCAGCCAAAGAGCCTTTGCTCCTGAGCTACGGGAACAGCAGAATGGTCTGAAGGCCCCAAGGGACGGCCAACATGAGGCAAAGGGAGCAGACCTGTGTGGAGCTGTTCGTGGCCACAGAGACATTTTTAGAACTACAGATTCTTGAAGTCCAACCTGTTAGAGTTCAGCAATTTTAATGACTAAATGCCACCTTCCTGGGCCCCAACCCCCTGGACACAAGCTCAGCCTCCCAAGTTTTTAGAGTAACCCTAATACTCAGGAAACTCTCCCTCAACACTGGATGGAATCTGCCACCTTAACCACGTCCACGTCCACGTCCACGGGACTTGGAAGTCTTGTGTGTCAGTGAACACTTTCTATTTTGGATGGAAAAGAAAAGAAACCTTCAGATTCATTTCTAAATCTTTACGCAGCATGCAGTAGCATGTCTGTCACCTGAGCAGTGAACTGGAAATAATTTTAGGAAGGCATAGTTCTCAAATTTTGCCATTTGTCGCTAAAGGAGCAGACCTTTGGCTACAGGTATTCACATTGTTTAGAGACAGGTCTTGTGTATCCTTGGCTGGTCTGGATCTCACTGGCATACCAAATCGCTCTCTGACTTAACAATCCTTCCTCTCCTGCTATCACAGGCATGCACAGCCATGTGTAAGTCTCACCTTAAGTTACTTTTGCTTTCTTATACTACTGTTTTTATTTTAAAGACAGACACAAAAATCCACAGTCCAAACATCCTTTTAGCTTCTTAAGTGACGAGCATCTTTTACTTACATAAACACATATGAAATTAAAATATGTCCCATACCATTTGTGCAGGTTTCTGAACAAAAGTCAATAATAAGAACAGGTGATATTACCTATTTGATAACGGAACTGCTTAGCCCAGCGTGGAGTTTCCCAAGATTTCTTAAAGCTTTAAGGAGAACCACCCTCAAGAAGTAAATGGAATGCAGAAGTTAAAATGGGGGAGAGGACATGTAAGAGTCCAAAGCAATTCAACGGGACGCGGAGGCTGGGCAAACCCACGGCCTAGTACAAAACTGAAGTGTATGTTCAGAGGGCCATCTGCCCAAGGGTGGGCTCTGTAGACTGACGCCTTTTCCCACTGATTAAGTTTTGGTTCCACATCAGTAGTTTTGTACCTCGTTCTGCTATGAGGTGAAAAAGACCCATGTTCATGGTTTACATGATGGGACCACAGTCAACTCCATGACAATACCCACACCGCAGCAGGCGGTCACATGACAATACCCACA